GAGAGGTCAGTTGTGCCAGATCATAAAAACAATGTGGACTGTGTCAAAATTGAGAACTTTATCCTAAGAGCAACGGAGGCCTCTGAAGGACTTTCTTAAAGAAGTTACTTCTCTGACCTCATCTCCGACTGCCCTTCCCTCACTCTCTTGTTCTAGTCTCACTGGCTTCCTTCTGTCCCTCAACACGCAGTCACACTCCCAGCACAGAGCATCCACTACCTACCTTCGGTCTTTGTCTAAATGCTACCTTCTAGTTGGGGCCTATCCTGACTACCCGATTTACATTGCAGCCTACCCATAACTCCCATTAACCTGCAGTATCTTTCCTTTTCCCCGTAACACTATAACTTCTAATACACTATATTTATATATTATGGGTTTTTTTGATATGGTTTGGCTGTGTCCCCACTCAAACCTCATCTTGAATTGTAACTTCCACAATTTCCATGTGTCATGGGAGGAAACCAGTGGAAAGTAATTGAATCATGGGGCTGGGTCAACTGTCTCCTGCTAGAACATAATATAATTTCTACAGAGGCAGAACAGTCACTGTCCTTGTAAAGCTTTTTAGATCAATAAAGTCAGTGGCTTTCAAAAATAATGATGGTACAGGGCAGGGCGTGGTGGCTCACGCCTGTAATCCCAACACTTTGGGAGGCCAAGGTGGGCAAATCACCTGAGGTCAGGAGTTTGAGACCAGTCTGGCCAACAAGGTGAAACCCCATCTCTACTAAAATTACAAAAATTAGCCAGGCTTGGTGGCTTGCACTTTTAATCCCAGCTACTCAGGAGGCTGAGGCAGAAGAATTGCTTGCAACCCTGAAGGCAGAGGTTGCAGTGAGCCAAGATCATGCCACTACCCTGAAGCCTGGGTGACACAGCCAGACTCCACCCCAAAATAAACAAATTATGGTACATACAGTAGGATTAAAAAGCCATCAAAAGAGAAGTTTCGTCTCTAACAATAGCACCTTGGTACACTGTAGTATTGAGTTCTAGGCATCAATCATATATTAACTCATTAAACCCTAACAACAATCTTATGAGACTGGTATTACTAATATTCCCTCATTTAAAAAATAGAGAAATTGTCATTTACCTAAGACCATTGGATAAATTGTTTTGAATGAAATCTCAACTTAAGTAATCTGTCTCTAGTGTCCACATGCTTTTAACCACTACATGTGTATGGTGAAATGGAAAGATATTCATGATATACTAAATGAAAAAGAGTATTGGGCCAGATGTAGTGGCTCATGCCTGTAATCCTAGGACTTTGGGAGGCTGAGGTGGGTGGATCACAAGGTCAGGAGATCAAGACCATGCCGGCCAACATGGTGAAACCCATCTCTACTGAAAATACAAAAATTATACAGGCATGGTGGCACACACGCCTAGTATCTGGTAGTTCCAGATACTAGGGAGGCAGGAAAATCGCATGAACCCGGAAGGTGGAGGTTGTAGTGAGCCAAGATCTCACCACTGCACTCCAGCCTGGGTGACAGAGCAAGACTCTGTCTCAAAAAAAAAAAAAAAAAGAAAAGGAAAGAAAAGAAAAAGAGTATTATTTGAAAAAAAATAAACTTAAGTGCATCCTTTCATATTGTTCTTCTCGACTTTCTTCCACTTTCCCAACTCATCTCAAACCCACATTAAAAATATAAATACATGCATACATATGTGCATAGATAGATAGGTTATGAATATTTAGATAATCGTAGACTAAAGCATGGGATAAAGATTTTACGCCAGGTTTTTACTACGGTTATCCCTGGGGATGGGATTATGATTGAGTTTTTGTTATCTCTATAGTGTTTACATACACATGTAGGACACAAAATGAGCACATAATACTTTGGGAAGGACAGAGAAAAACACTCTGTCATTTGCTTTTAACCACGGTCAGTAATCAAAAAACTTATTCTGACTGAAAAATTTCTCTGCCCAGCATGAAGTGGCTAAGATCAATTCTGACTCATCATCTCCAGTCTATTAAATCTATTGAATGTATTCTATGGCTACCTAATATTTCATATAAGTACTTACACTTGGGGAAATATATCTGACCTACCTACTGGACACAAAAATGATTTGATGATACTGCCTAGTATTGTGAATCATTTTTTTAGCTCAATAGCTTTCTAGCTACCTGATAGGCTATTACTAACCAAAAAGAAGCTGGTCCCAATCAGAAAGTAGGTGTTTTTAAAACCAAACTGAGCAATAGAGAATTCATTCTGTATCTATCCTGTTAAAAAAAAAATGATAAATCCAACTTTTCCACTGAGACAAGTCTTTAGGCAATCTTGGGCTTTGATCTCTCAATTATCAACTAGGGGCTGGGAGAAGAATTAGATGTTTTCCTCTGGCTAATACAATTCACTATTCTACAAATAACACCTAGACATTTAATGTATGTTAATGAGATAATCTGTTAGTACTTACCACAGAGTATAAATGTTCAAGAAATGTTAGTTCTGTCCCCTCATCGTAAGTAATGCTTCTAATACAGAGAAATCTTAAGTCTCTGTAGCTATACTGAAAATTAGTTAGGATCAGTTCATAAGCACTTTAAGGGCCAGGCTCAGTGGCTCATGCCTATAATCCCAGTGCTTTGGTAGGCTAAGGGAGGAGGACTGCTTGAGTCCAGGAATTTGAGACCAGCCTGGGCAACACAGTGAGACCCCTGTCTCTACAAAATTTTTAAAATTAGCTGGGCGTGGTGGCATGTGCTTGTAATTCTAGCTCCTCAAGAGGGTGAGATGGTAGGATCTCTTGAGCCCAGGAATTTGAGGCTGCAGCAAGCTATCACCATGCAACTGTACTCCAGTCTAGGCAACAGAGTGAGCAGAATGAGACCCTGTCTTAAAAAGCAAAAACAAAACAAAACACCTCAGCAATTTGAACTTCCTCAAAGTTTTTAATTTTGATACAAACTAATATATATTATTTTATCTGGTATAACACACTAGAAGCTGCAAGCCAGTCACTGTCATATATGTTTGGGTATTCTTTTTTCCAAGTGGGGGGCAATAGATCATTAAAGTACACTTCAATTTAGTCCTACGTATACTCTGTCTATAGGGGGTCAGCTCAGGATTCATACAAGGAAGTTACAAAAATATTGGCCACTAGTAGTGAGAAGGCTCTTTTTATCTTCTCTAATTAGTAAAATTCTCTAAGATGATGCTAGAAGAGTGCCCATGTATTGTTAAAGAAGACACAAAAGGCCTTCTTGCCTAGTGGCTAGAGAATGTCCCCTGTAGAGGCCTTGTCTGGGTTAACATGGACAAAATAAATAAAAATCATATGGACAAGTCAACATGTAAATCAAGAAGATAACTTACTAATATATATAATATTAAGTTCACAGAGAATACAGGTCTGATATCCAGAGAGGTATAAGCATGCAGTAAAAGCACTAGTAAAGATGAGCCACCAAAAAAGTGAAGAAAGGCATTTTGGGAAAGACATAATAGCTGAGAGTTAAAAAAATTAAATATAATATGAGAAATCAGAACTTTCTTGGACCTCTTTATACTTATTTATGTTTTAATATCGTTTTTAGCCTGAATTACATAATACCTAAGAATGCTTAGGTAATCTCAAAGTCTTATTCCAGCCCTGTTGAGAGGCATGATGGAAAGTTTCTGGCTTGGATTTGTTTTAATGAAAGAAAAAAAATTAGAGGTCATAACCCATGGCTTCATTAAAGGGCATCGCAAATATGTTGGTGTTATTTTATTTAAAATATTTTACATATTTTTCTATTTTTTAAATAGCTTTCTAAAGGCATAAACATTGTTCACATACAAACACAAATGATTTAATTTTGAAAAGTGCATTTTATGAACTTCACAAAGAGCAAATGTGTAATGGAGTAAGAGATAAGGAACAGCAGCCCACTTACTGAGTTCCAGAGGGCCTGCACTATTTCATGCCTTGTTTAGAATCAAGGTTATGTTAATGATTACGTATGGTTAAGGCTCTCCTAACATATCAAGAGGTCCTCCTATGATCTCACCTCATTAACTTTGGACAGATTCAGAAGAACGATAAGGGGTCTAGGAATACCTGCTGAGTCACCTTGTAAAGAAGAGTAATAATGACAGCTAACACTTAGTAGGCAGTAAAATGTTTTAGATACTACATTAAGGACTTCTTTGATCATCTCATTTAATTCTTGTAACAATTCCATAAATTAATTTCTATTATTATCTCTAAACTCAGACCCTGAGCACTTAGAATATTTGCATATGATAGGGCTGAAATTAGAAGCAAATCTGTCTGAGTCCAGTGTCTGCCATTTTAACCACCATGTTATACTGAGCAAAGGGTAACCCTGTGCCTTTGAGGCAATTATTGCCTTTAATATCAGAATGTCTTTTTTGACTAAAGGGCAAAAACCAGCTGGGTTATTTTCACCAACTCTGCAGCAAATGTCTTGCAGTTACCACGTTGTTAAACCTGTATGATATGTTGACATAAGATCCAACAGGATAATTATAATTCTAAAGTGTTTTATAAATTTCTAACTATCATGGAAAGAACTGCAAATTGAAATGTAGCAGTTTCTTTTTTACTCAGTATATTACAGAAACTTTTAAATAATTCAATTATATGTTTAGGTACCTCTGGAGATGTTATTATAATAAAAAGCATTTTAAGAAAAAGCAGGCATCATTTTAATGGAAAACAATTTTTAACTTTTTCTCTTATATCATCTAACTCATGTGATAAAAAGATCTTTTATTTCACTGGAAAAAACACTCTGATAGTACTATTAAATAAATGGATTATTTAAAAAAAAAGACTCCAAATAAACAACAACAGAAAAAGGAAGAGAGGAGGGAAGAGGATCAGAGTTTCTCAGAGAAGTCATCTTTTTGTGTGTGTCTGAGAAACTAGAATGAGTCAAAGACTGTAAATTGAATTATTCCAGTCCCAAGGGCAAAGAGGTAAGAGAATTTGGTAACTTAAGATTTAAAAAAAAGTCTTACCTTTAGGAGCGCCAAAGCTACATGAAAGATTATGTTCAAACCCTGAAATAGGAAAAAGAACGCGAAAATTAGTACTGCCACATATATCACTATTTTAATATTTTCCCAAGACTTTCATATATCTTTAATAAAATTCCTAATTGCTTTCATTTTCACAATCATTAAAAGGCATTTTCTTTCCCTGAGTGGCTTTTTGTAAATTTTAGGTTCTATTTAATCAATGTTCACATAAAATTGTTTTTACAATAAGTTATTTTCCTTCAGTCACAATTTCTAGATTATTTGCATGTGTGTAAGTCTTGTGAAAGTCAAATTCCTTGCTGAAGCTGGCAGAATGATGCAGAAGTCTAAAATTATTAACTGAAATTCCTAACCCTAATCTGGGCATACGGGTGTTACAGTTAAACTGCAAGTAGCAGACAAAATAAAATAAAACAAAACAAGACAAGACAAACAGTGTGGCTGATAAGCAGGACAGGTGTGTACTGGAGGCTTGAAGTATCACACTGCATTTCCACTACTGTTCTTACTGTTTGCTTATTTGTTTTAGCAATGGCTTTCAAGTATTATTTGTTTTTTTTTTTTTTTGAGGCGGAGTTTCGCTCTTGTTACCCAGGCTGGAGTGCAATGGCGCGATCTCGGCTCACCGCAACCTCCGCCTCCCGGGTTCAGGCAATTCTCCTGCCTCAGCCTCCTGAGTAGCTGGGATTACAGGCACGTGCCACCATGCCCAGCTAATTTTTTTGTATTTTTAGTAGAGACGGGGTTTCACCATGTTGACCAGGATGGTCTCGATCTCTCGACCTCGTGATCCACCCGCCTCGGCCTCCCAAAGTGCTGGGATTACAGGCTTGAGCCACCGTGCCCGGCTCAAGTATTATTTGTATAACTAGAGGTGGTCATTAGGGGCTATCTGCCAGACTTCCTTTTCTTTCCTGAAAACGCAGCAATATTTCTTTACAAAGAAACAAATTAATGACTTAATAAGTCATTCTAGAACTGAATTTTGAACTCTGGGTTCTGCCCTACTGCTCTGAAGAGATATTGAGTTATTAAATTCAAAAGATAAAGAATCTTATATGATAAAGACAACTATCAGAAATAAGGTTGCTGCAAAATGTGCTGTTTCCTTGCCATGCAAGTCATCATACATAAGAAAAAAGATATTTCAAGTATGAGTTGGTATAAGTCCCATAAGTCCTGGGTCTGTTTGATGAGCCCTCTTCATCTTGGTTACAAATACACTCTGGCTGGCTTTTGGAAATGGGGCTGTACCAAATGTATCATCCAAAAAACTCCTAATAAACCATGCTTTTTCTGTCTCTGAAACAACTTCAGAAGCAAGGATTAGGCCCAGATATTTAGAATGCATTCCTGTTATGATTTGCTATAACCTTTCACATTCAGCTGCCAGAAATAGGACATCATGATGGAAGGAATGAATGACAAAACACAAATATTCAGTTGGTTAAAATACAAACCAAATATTTTTGGTTTGGGGTTTACTCAGATAATTATTGAAGAAACCAAAAGCAGTAAGAAGTAAGTATAATCTGGCCGGAGATAAAAACAAGTGAACACAGTCCATCATCATACTAAGCAATTATCCTAGACTGGTTTTAATCACACTTTACTAATTAGAAAACAGAAAGACTATTACAGATTTTAAAGTGTGGGTTACAATTAAGCAAAAATTGCTTTCTGAATCAAAATTTGAATTTTCACTCACTAGCTGCTGCCCACCTGCAAAATCTTAAAGGCCAATATACAAAGGACCTACTGCCCTGATCTCCAGTGCTGTCCACCACCGCATCACAACTGCCGGGCAGCAGTGAATTCTCACAACCTGAGTGCTGTGAGAATTCAGCTTGCCATCAGGACCTGATCCACGACTTCTCTGGTTCTTGTTTTTCCAGTCTCTGCTCAAAATGTAAACCCCTCTCATATCTGGTTTTCTCATCTTCACAATGCTCTGGGTCCTTTATCACAAGCCAGTTTCCTACTCCTCCTCTCCTTCCCAAATCCTTTCACGGCAGCCTTTGGAAACTCCACTCCATGTTCAGCTACCTTGGCTGTATTCCTAATCTCCCTGTCAAACATTCCCCCTATAGGAAATAAGAACAAACAAAATGTTCCTCTTCAAAGCTTCCCTCTTAGTTCATTACAAATAAACAGTAGTTTCTTCAAAGGTTAATTTACTTTAAAGCTTTTGCTAATAATCTTAAATTAGCTGTTAGTCATAATAAAGAAATAAGTGCATTCCGTGTTCTTAGTTCTTATACTTTAACCTAGATATTTGTCCTGACATGCCTGGACAAGCCCAGGCAAGTCTTAGGTCAAAGCTTATTCCTCTTCCTTCTTCTTTTTTTTTTTTTTTTGAGATGGAGTCTAGCTCTGTTGCCAGGCTGGAATACAGTGGCTTGTTCTTGGCTCACTGCAATCTCTGCCTCCCGGGTTCAAGTGATTCCCCTGCCTCAGCCCCCTGAGTAGCTAGTACGATAGGTGCCTGCCAGCTAATTTTTTGTATTTTAGTAGAAATGGGGTTTCACCATGTTGGCCAGGATGGTCTTGATCTCCTGACCTGGTGATCCGCCCATCTTGGCCTCCCAAAGTGCTGGGATTACAGGTGTAAGCCACTGTGCCCAGCCTCCCCTTTCTTATTTGAAAATGTTATTGCTTCTTTAAGCATTCCTCATGTTACTTCCTCTTTTCTTTGTTCTTATCTGCCTTTACTTCTTTAGAAAATTTCCAAGTTTTTGGCCAATTGGGTCAAGCATAGAATGTAAGGTTTCATTCAGGCCAATAGAAACTGGACACAGTGCAGGGCGATTGCGTCAGGTTATCAAAGTTATAAATGTTCCTATCTTCTTGTTCAGGTGTGCTCTCGTGGCAAGACTCCTGGCGAGTTGCACCCTTCCTGCAGGAAGTAAAACTAGCCTTGCTGCGGAATCCATTGTCTCGGTGTGGATTTTTCCCGACGTTATAAACCCGTTTCCAACACCCCCAAATTCCTTATTCACAGGAATAGTGAAATCTCATTGATTCTCATAACAACCTATACAATGATTCTCATTTTTCAGAGTATGAATGTGACTAGCCCAAAGTTACACATGTGTAAACCAAAAAGAAAATTCTAATCCCTCCAACTGACCAAATGGATCTCTGGACCAAGGGAACCCAACTAAACTTGAAAAAATAGTTCAGACCATGACAGGAAGGAAGAATCAGGCATGCCTCATTATACTTTCCTCCCCTTGGAGTTCAGGCACACAACTGACCAGCATTAACATTAAAAGACAGATCCTAAGACAGAACAGACTCAGTAGCAGTAAGATACCAAATTCCAACCTGACTCTAAGTATAGCATTACATGACAGATAGCAGGGCCCTGAAAGAAACTAAAGTATTTTATCCCAAAATAGATTCCTTTGACATTGAAATGGTCCCACAAAGCTGTCTCTTATGGGGAAAATTTACATTCTTTAGAGGATTGCCTTTCCTTTCCAGGTCATTTTCTGATCCTGAAGGGATTGGCTGAGAGTCTAGTACCTTTTAAGGATCTGAAAAGGAAACATTTGCCATTTATTGCCTCTGGGAGTAGTTACCTATGAGACTTCATATACTTATGCATATGTATAAGAACCTTGGTCTTTACAACCGCTTATCTTAACCCAGACACTCCTTTCTATTGATTCCAGGTTTTTAAATAATAACTTAACTCTTTCAACCAACTGCCAATCAGGAAATCTTTGCCAACCAGGGAAACAAAGTGAGACCCCGTCTCTACAAGAAAGTAAAAAAAAAAAAAAAAATTAGCCAGGTGTGGTGGTGCACACCTGTGGTCCCAGCTACATGGGAGGCTGAGGCAGGAGGACTGCTTTAGCCCAGGAGGTTGAGCTGCAGTGAGCGAAGATCACATCACTGCACTCCAGCCTACATGATAGAGCAAGACCCTGTCACAAAAAACAAAAAAGAAAAGAAAAACACAGACAAAATGTTTGAATCTATCTATGACCTGGAAGCCCCAGCTTTGAGTTATCCTGCCTTACTGCACTGAAAGAATCTATGCTTCACACCACATGTATTGACTGCTACCTTTTTTTTTTTTTGAGACAGAGACTTGCTCCATCGCCCAGGCTGGAGAGCAGTGGTGCAATCTGGGTTCAATGCTGCAACCTCCACTTCCTGGGTTCAGGCAATTCTTGTGCCTCAGCCTCCCATGTAGCTGGGACTACAGGACCCCACCACCATGCCCAGCTAACTTTTGTATTTTTAGTAGAGACGGGATTTCACCATTTTGGCCTGGCTAGTCTCAAACTCCTGACCTCAAGTGATTCACCTGCCTTGGCCTCCCAAAGTGTTGGGATTACATGTGTGCACCACCGCACCCAGCCTGATGTCTTTTTTTTTTAGAACAGAGTCTCATTCTATCACTCAGGCTGGAGTGCAGTGCCACTATCAGAGTTCACTGTAGCCTTGACCTTATGAACTCAAGCCGTCTTTCCACATCAGCCTCCCAAGTAGCTGGAACTACAGGCATGCGCCACCACACCCAGATAATTTTTCTTTTTCTTTTTTTGGTAGAGGGTTTCACTATGTTGCCCAAGCTGTTCTTGAACTCCTGGCCTCAAGCAACGCTCCTGCCTCAGCCTCCCAAAGTGCTGGGATTAAGGGCATGAGCCACTGTGCTCGGCCACGGATTAATGTCTTATGTTTCCCTAAAACATATAAAACCAATCTGAAACCCAATCACCTTGGGCACATGTTCTCAGGACCTCCTGTATCATGGATCATGGTCTGTAACCTGTCAAAATAAACCTCTAAATTGATTGAAACCTGTCTCAGACACTTTTTGGTTTACAAATGTGTTTAGTAACAGGCTAGAATCACCCCCTCAAGCCTCCTGATGTCTACTCCAGTGAAATTTTCTCACACAGTGCTGGTATAATTAAATGCTTATTTGAAGACTGAATGATTAAACTATACTAGCTTTCCCAAATTTTCTGGAGTTGATTTATTTCCCTGTGGACCCAACTAGACCA